TCCTGGTGGCCAAGGTGAAAGGAGGAACAGCCAGTTGAGAAGTGCTTGTATATAGAATGGTATTCTCAGGTCTCAAACCTTCTCTGGCACTAAGTTCTGATAAGGAAGGCCCACCTGCCTGGGGAACCTCACAGACACTTCTCCACACACATACCTTATGGAGAAACAGGCACAGCCCAGCCCTTACCCTCTATGGGGGGCGATGAGCTGGGCTCGAGTCAGTGCAGGCTGTGTGACCAAGGCAAGCTGGCTGATATCCAAGTCCCTCTGCTGTAAAATGGGGCTAGGAGTGGTCCCTGTGTTGTGGGGACTGGATTATTGATCCAGTGCTTAGCTTAGAGCAAGTGACCAGCAGATGCCAGGTGTCCTGCTTTTGCTGTTTCTGTCATGAATTTGCTCCTCATCTTGGGTTTTAACCCCAGAACCTTAGTTTATTTATCTAGAATATGGACAGTCATTTCCACCTTCCAGGGCTCTGATGAGGGTATAAATGCTGTCCCTCAAGCCTGAGGCCCGGTATCTGTTCACTGTGCCTGCCGCAGGCTTCAGAAGTAAGACCAGAAGCACACCCATGTGGCGTGGCAGGTGGGGTGGCCTTCAGGTGTGGACCCCAAGGAGGCAGGGAGGGTGCCTACTTTACAGGGAGGGGAGACATGGAGGCCTAGCAAAGGAGTCTGGATTCAAAGGTGACATTGGAACCAGTCCAGAGGCCTCAGGGCAGGGCCCTGCTTAGTGAGCTACAGGCAGAGTTGGGGCAGGATGGCCTGGGGAGCTGCCTGGCTGGGGCCCCTGAGTATCTCCTGTGCTTGGCTCAGGTACAAGAGCAAGAAGAAAGCTTTCACCAAGGCCTGCAAGAGATGGCGGGATGCTGATGGCAAAAAGCAGCTCCAGAAGGACTTTGCCGCCATGAAGAAGTACTGCAAAGTCATTCGGGTCATTGTCCACACACAGGTCAGCCCCAGCCCCACCTCTCAGTCTGTCCACCCCAGCTTCCCTCCCCCTCTAGCTTCCAGGAGCCCTGACAAATGTCAGCCTAAAAATACCACAAGTCTTGGGCATAGGACTAATGACTGGCCAACTGCCTTGCTGGCCCTCACAGCCCCAGGGACAGGATATTGTCAGTGCCTGCCAAGGAGGGAACAGGACATTGGCTATGTCCTGTAGTCACCTAAGGGCCTAAAATGGCCAGAAGGGCTTAGGTCTGCCAGTCCAGTGTGCAGGACTGTTGCCTCCCTGGCCCAAGAGTGTGTGTGTGATTCAGTACCTCGGGTCTGGCTCCTTGTGGGTGACAAGTAACCAACATCTTCTGGCTTCTTCAGGGACACTCCTTGGCATCTTGTTTTCAGGGGAGGCTATCTCAGCCCCTCTCTAGAGCCTCTCAGCCCCTGAATATACCCTCTGCTGCCAGTTACACACTTGCAGTTCATGGGCAGAGTCATGGTTAATGTCCATCTCCCTTCACTGACTTGAGCTTGCTCCAGGGGCAGCACCTACCATGTTCACTGTGGGGCCCCAGTGCCCAACAAAAGCCCTGTATGCAGCAGGTGCTTCAAAATATTTGTTGGGCACTATGCCGTGATATAACTGGCCTGTTTCCACCTGTACATCCCATAGTCTGTGCCTCATGTAGCATCAGCCAGAGATCTACTGGCTGATCACATCACATCCGGTCCTCCCTACACAACCTGCCTGGCCCTGGTATCCTCTTTGCTCACTATCATCTGGCCACATCGATTTCTTTCTTCTTTTTCTTTTGGAGATACAATCTCACTAAGTTGCCCAGACTGGCTCGAACTTTCAATCCTGCCTCAGCTTCCCAAGTTCTAGGATTACAGGCATGTGCCACCATCTCCAGCTTGGTCTTCTTTTTTTTTTTTGGTACCAGGGATCGAACTCGGGACTTTGGCTTGTGAGGCAGGTGCCAGAACCACTGAGCTAAATCCCCGGCCCCCCAGCTTGGTCTTCTTTCTGTCCCACCAACTCTTCAAGATCTTCCCAGCCACAGTGATCTTGTACATGCTGTTCCTTCTGCCCAGATTTTTCTCTGATCTTTACCTCATGGCTCCTTTCTGTTATTGGTGTCAACTACTCAGAGAGGCCCTCCCTGACCACTTTCTGAAGTACTCCCCACCCACCCCATAGTCTATGAGAGCACTTAGCCCTCTCCAAGAGTTTACTTGGCTTTTGTCTGTCCCCTAGCCTGAGGTACGGGACCATATCTGCCTCATTCCATGCTATACCCACAGTGCCTAGCATAGCACACTGTATGTAGCCGGGATGCAGTAACATTTGTGAATGAATGAATGCATAAAAGACTTCAGGTCACCAGCTGGCCATGCCATGTCTGCAGGTGTAAGGGGAATGTGACCTTCTTGGACCTGATCATTGTGCCATGTCCTGCAGATGAAGCTGCTGCCCTTCCGGCAGAAGAAGGCCCACATTATGGAGATCCAACTAAATGGTGGCACTGTGGCTGAGAAGGTGGCCTGGGCTCAGGCCCGGCTGGAGAAGCAGGTGCCAGTACATAGTGTTTTCAGCCAGAGTGAGGTCATTGATGTCATCGCTGTCACCAAGGGCCGGGGTGTCAAAGGTAGGGCCTGGTGTGAATGTCAGCTTTAGGGAAGGCTGCTGGAGGCAGTGGGGGCCAGACTGTCCAGACACCAGCCCATTCCACCTGCAGGGGTCACCAGTCGCTGGCATACCAAGAAGCTGCCAAGGAAGACCCACAAGGGGCTGCGCAAGGTGGCCTGCATTGGTGCCTGGCACCCTGCTCGTGTGGGCTGCTCCATTGCCCGGGCTGGGCAGAAGGGTTACCACCACCGGACTGAGCTCAACAAGAAGGTGTTTCCATGATCCTGGGAGGGAATATAGTGGGTGGTGTGCATGATCCAGACACTTCCCAGGCACCTGGGTCTGAGAATGTGTGCTGATGGGTGGGGACATGCCCCTGGCCCCAGAGCCTACCACTGGCCCCTGGTGTGCCCTCTTCTCCTGGTAGATCTACCGCATTGGCCGGGGGCTCCACATGGAGGACGGGAAGTTGGTCAAGAACAACGCGGCCACCAGCTACGATGTGACTGACAAGTCCATCACACCACTGGTGAGGAATGGCTTGGCTGGCTGAGGGGGCCTGGCAAGCATGAAGAGGGGCAGCCTCCAGCCCTGGCTGAGTGCTATCCTGCTCCAGAAACTGAAGATGTGTGCTTCACAGGTAGACTCGGGCACGAGGCCCTACTAGGCGGGCAGTGCTGTGGGCCTTCATGCAGCAGCAAGCAGCCAACTGGTGCCTCAATCTCTGCCATCTCCTGCACCCTCTCAGCCTCCTCTGAGGAGCTCACCCCAGCTGTTGTCAGGGGAGTGTAGGATGCCCCAACTCCTACCATGGCCTGGGAGCCAAAAATCTCAGCCCAGTGGAGCCTGCAGCATGTGATGCCAACCTTCTGAGCTTTAGTTTGGCCCCAGAAAAATACAGATGTTGCCAGGTGTGGTGGTAATGCCTGTAATTCCAGCACTCAGGAGGCTGAGGCAGGAGGATCACAGCAAGTTTGAGGCCAACCTAGGATACATAGTGAATTCAAGACCAGCCTTAACTACATAGTGAGACTCTGTCTCAAAAACACTAAAAGATAGACGTTGAGTGAGATAATGGACTTAGCATGTGCCTGAGATGCTGCCCTGATCAGTGATCTCTCTCCTGAAGGCTGGGCACAAGGCTCTTTCCCAACACAGCCCTATGTGGAAAAAGAGGGCAGCCCCCTCTGCCCCAACGGCCCTTTTCTGCCATGGCCTCTGGCTTTTCTCCCTCACAGGGTGGCTTCCCTCACTATGGGGAAGTCAACAACGACTACATCATGTTGAAGGGTTGCATCGCAGGTACCAAGAAGCGGGTCATTACGCTGAGGAAGGTCAGTGGGGCACATTGAGTTGGGAGGCAGGTCCCCCACGGGCTGCCCCAGCCAGCCTGTCATCCTACAGCCTGCTCCTGGGTGGAGTGGGTTGTGGGAACAAAAAGGAAGGAGTCTGGCAGGAGGTGGGTGAGGCAGACTTTCCTGGTTGGAACCCCAGGTGGTGTCAGGAGGGGGTAGGGCCCAGGGCCCACCCACCTTAACAACTCTTGTCCCTGGGATCCCCAGTCCCTCCTGCTGCACCACAGTCGCAGAGCCGTGGAGAACATTGAGCTCAAGTTCATCGACACCACCTCCAAGTTTGGCCATGGCCGCTTCCAGACAGCCCAAGAGAAAAGGGCCTTTATGGTGAGCCAGTCCCTTCTTTGGGGGTCAAATTCCACCTCCTGCCTGCTCTGGAATAGAGAAGTCAGACGCACAGAGCTGGCAGGGCGACCCCCGCACTCACCCACAGGAGGGGCTTTTGGAGGTCCGGCAGGACCGACCTGGGTGGCCTGGCGCTGGCCATGGCCCGGACAGACTTGTGACTAACGCTTCTCTTGTCCTCTTCAGGGCCCCCAGAAGAAACATCTCGAAAAGGAGAAGCCAGAGGCCTCAGGAGATTTATAGGCAGTGTGGGATGGAGGGACCTGAGGCGTGCACCCCGGCTCACTGCGGGCCCGTTCAGTTCAATAAATGTTGGCGGCAACTCGGTGTCTCAGAGGGTTGGGGTCGCGGAAAGGCCAGTCTACCGCCAGGCGCCTGAGGTTTATCTCTAGAGACAAGACGAGGGGAAACGGCTCCGTGCATCGTCACCCCACTCCCTGGCCCCATCCCAGGTGGCCCAGGGCGCCACTGCCACCCTGTGGTGCCGCCGGGCTAAGGATGGAGTGGAGCTTTTGGCGGTAGGGGCGGGGCTTCGTGGAAGCTTCTCAGGAGTGGCCCTTCGGACCAATCGAAGGGCGGGGCCTACTGAGAAGACAGGATTCCACGGATCCTCGGGAGCGGGACGGGCAGGCTGGAGGCGGAAGCTGGAACCCGCGACCAGAGATTGGAGCTCGGGAGGGGGCGGGGCCTTTGTGAAGTGGGAAAGGGGAAATCCTGGCGCCTCCGTATGATTGGTCCTTTTCAGGGGCGGAGCTCAGGCGTATGGAGTGATTGATTGGTCCTTGGGAAGGGGCTGCTGGCTCCTGTACTGGCTTCAGAATTAGAGGCCTTGGGTCTACCTTGCCGGCGCCATGTCTTTTTGCAGCTTCTTCGGGGGCGAGGTTTTCCAGAACCACTTTGAACCAGGTCTGGCCTATGACCTCTTGTGTTAAAGGGGGTGTCGCCGCCCTCCGGAGTTGGTGGAGCTCTGGGCCCTGGAATGGGACGAGTGTGGCCATCCGGAGGAGCGAACTTGGGGAAAGGTGGTCGTGCAGAAGGTGGTGGTCTCGAGGGCCAGGGGAGTGGGGAGATCCGAGGAGACAGGGGCATGGGGGAGTCGCTGGCCCGGAGGAGACAGGCTTCGAGCCTCACCGTGACTATTCCTGGGGTAACCGGGTCAGGTTCAAGACTTAGGAAGGGGACAGTGGAACATTTGCCCCGGAGCAGTGCGAGGTGTTACCCCAGCTATTCTGGTTTCTAGGATACGCGGGGTGAGTGGGCAGTCACCGAATATCCTATTAAGATGGGAATGTGCATGCCTTCCCACCTGCCCAGGGCCTTCTGGTTGGGTAACCAGGGGTGCCACTGGGGCCCTGGCAAATGCAGTTTCTGGCCAGTGAAGTTTGACTGGCAAGCTCTCAGCCCTGACTCCAGGCTGTGTGAGGCCTTGGTAAGTTCTAGCTGGACTCTCCAAATAGTGGCCTAATTTAATAAAAACAGGTCCATAGGGGATTGGTTTCCCTGGGGCAAGATCTGTTGGAACTAGACTGTGAAACTAGGAATCTGTGGGGCAAGCTGTGACACAGGATCACCAGGTCAGAAGCCCTCCCCTGAGGCCCTTTGACTGTGGGACCCCAGTTAACCTAAGGCTGTCCTGCTGAGTTGGAACTCCACTTCTGAGGCAGCCCTCTGCCTCTTCATGTTTCTTCTTTTTTTTTTTTTTTCCTTAGATAGGGTCTCGTTATGTAGTTCAGGTTGGTTTTGAGCTCACTATGTAGCCCAGGCTGACCTTGAACTCGCAGCAATCCTCTTGCCTCAGCCTCCTGACTGCTGGGATTACTGGTGTGCACGACTACACCTGGTTTATGCTTCATTCTTTAGTTCCTGGTAAAGGCTGAGCAGTTCACACTGCCCAGTTCCAGGGTAGGCTGTTCTGGTTGGAGGTTGAGAGGTGACTCAGTATTTCTGGAGGTTCCTGTTTTTAGTTCTTCAAGTAGTTCTGTAAATCAGTTTTGCAACCTTCTCTGCCCCTTCTACTCCAAAGTGATCTTTTGGAGACAGGTTGGAAGTTGTCCTCCCAGCTTTTGTCTCCCTGGGCTTCTTGTTTAGCCCAGAGGCTTAATCTCTGCGACTATTCTTTTCCTGCCTAGAGAGAAGGCCAGTGGAAGAGTGTTCAGATCAGGGTTTTGTTGGATAGCAGTGTTGGCCACTTGAAGAAGGAGGGAAGCCCAGTGTTTAACACTGACTACGTGAAGGCCTTCACTGTGTGCGGTCTTATGTAGCAAGTGGGTCCTGTGGCCTCATCAGATTGGCGGGGTTCTTCCCTGGCCACACACTTTCTTTCTTTTGAGACAGAGTCTCACCATGTAGTTTAGGCTAGTCTTGAACTCATGTAGCCCAGGCTGGCCTTGAACTCATGGCGATCTTCCCAAGTGCTGGGATTATAGGCATACCTGCCTTTTAATTTTTGTTTGTTTGTTTTGTCCTGGCCACACACTTTCTCATTTGGTGCCACACACTTTCTCAGCTTCCCCATCTGTAAAGTGGAAATGCTAATGATTCCACATCAAAAGGCCACTGAAAGAGTCAATGAGATGTATGTGAAGGGTGAGTCCTGGTCCCTGGGATGTCCCCTGAGTATGAGCTTGGTGCTGTGACTGTTTATGACCAACCTGTGGCCTGTGAGCAGCAAGTTCATGGGAAGGGTATGCAGCCCACCTTCAGAATGGGGGCAGTGCTGCCCTCATCTAGGTCCAGGGATTGGGGAGCTCACTCCACACAAGATGGAGCTGACATCTCTGCTTTTGCCCTCCCTTGCCTCAGGTATCTATGTGTGCGCCAAGTGTGGCTATGAACTATTCTCTAGCCGCTCAAAGTATGCACACTCCTCTCCATGGCCGGCATTCACGGATGCTATCCACACTGATAGCGTGGCCAAATGTCAGGAGCGCAATCGCCCTGGAGCCCTAAAGGTAGGTGATAGTGGCTGGGGCTGTGGTTCCTCAGGGAGTGTCAGCCAGTTATCTCTTCCTTTCTCTGTTGTCAGGGTTTCGAGGCTTCTGGCCTTTGCCAAAGGAGCTGCCACCCTTGTCTTAGGGGCAGCCTGGCATCTTGATGGAACGTGGACAGCAGGACAGTATCCCTCACAGGGTCTAGGTCAGAGATCAACCTCACACAGCAGAAGGCCAGTGCCCTGGAGCCAGAAGCTCATGTGGTTATTTTATGGTCTTTCCAGGTATCTTGTGGCAGGTGTGGCAATGGGCTGGGCCACGAGTTCCTGAATGACGGCCCCAAGCAGGGGCAATCTCGATTCTGAATATTCAGCAGCTCGCTGAAGTTTATCCCTAAAGGTGAGCTTCTTGGTCTGGGGTAGGGAAGAGGATGCTGTTGTGCTCATCCACTTACCATTGCAAAGTATCAGGGGCATCAGATTATGCAGCCCAGGGCCTGCCCAGCCAGGATCACCCAAAACAGTGGCTGCTGGGCAGGAACAAGGGGGCAAATGTCCTGGTTCCTCAGCCTGGTTGATCAGGTATGCCCCAGAGAGGGGCATCTGAGGGAGGGTGAGGCAAAGGGTTTTCTCTTGCGGTCTTCTCTTTCTCATTCCCTGTAACTGGAATTAATGACAGGGACAGACAGAGGCTGAGAACCTGGACCTTGCAGCCATGTGTCCCACTGGCTGCAAGCTTGGGCTTGCTTCTCAGTCTCTGAGCTTGCTTCCTCATCTGCACAGTGGCCGAGGTAACAGAGTCTTCTTCACAGGGCCACTGAGGACAGATGCATGTACTGCAGGGCCCCTGGACATAGTAACACCTCAGTAAACCTGCATTGCTACTGGCAACATTCTTAGCAGTTTTTTCTTTTGCAGTACCGGGGGATTGAATCCAGGGCCTTCGCTCTGAGCTACATCCCTAGCCCTTTTTTGTATGTGTAATTCTCGGGACCTTGTGCTTGTGAGGCAGATGGTGGCACCACTAAGCTAAATCCCCAGCCCTGTTTAATTTTGAGACAGAGTCTTGCTGAGTCACTGAGTTGCCCAGGCTGGGCTCAAACTTGCAGTCTTCCTGCTTCAGCTTCTCGGAGAGCTGGGATTATTGGTTTGGGCCACCACACTCAGCTTCTTAGCAGTTGGTGTTGGAGAGCTGTTTGTTGTTTGTGTGTACTCTATCAACTCAGCCTTGTTTGCCCCCTGCTCTCCTGCTCACACAGAGCCTCACGCCTTATCAGTCTGCTTGCAGACATAGGTAGACACAGCCACCCCTGGCTCCTTTGCATTTTGTACTGTGAATCCCAGCTCTGTGGCCAGTCCCTTCAGTCTCAGTTTCACACTCTGTAAAATGGGGCTGTCAATGAGTGAGTGGTTTGTAGGGACCTGCTACATGATTAGTCTGCCATGATGTTTTTGTCCTTTTGTCATTGTTCGTGCAGAGAAAGAACTTCAGGTCTTCCTGTAAATCTCAGGGAATACACAGGGGACACAGGAGCTGAGCCTCTGGGCCTGTTGACTTGCCTGGTGTCTGAAACGTCATTTAATGGTGATTTGCTTTCTCTCCTCTCCCTCCTTTCTTTCAGACAAAGAAACTTCAGCCTCCCAGGGGCACTAGCCGGGCAGCCCACACCCACCCCAGACAGATATGCACTGTGACCTTACCCTGGCCATCACAACTTGACATTGGAACTCTAGACACTTAGATAGCATTCTGAACAGGGTCCCCATGGCAAAGCACTTGTTTGGAATAGTCCATAGCCTTTTGCTAGGATAGGCCTTGGGGCAGGGTACATGCTGCCGGCCTTCTTAGCCTCTGGCTTACAGTCTCCAGAAGGTGAGCTCTGGGCTCAGCTCACCTTTGAAAATGTTGTGCCTCTATCTTTTCTATTTATCAGCTTGCTGCCCTCTCCTTGGCTTTCTGGACCTCCCCTGTGGGGCCCTGGTCCTCACCAAAGCTTATGTCCATCTTCCCCAGGCTGTGGTATGACACAGAACTTAAAAGGGGATTGCCCTGGCCAGCTGCTTCAGCCCTGGTCACTGCATGATCTGCTCTGGATAAACCCCTTCTAGGCCAGCCAGGGTGGTGATGATCTGTGACTTGCTGGGGAGTGGGCTGATGAGCCACACCCTGGAGCATCATCCTCTAGCAGAAGAACCTGAAGATGTTGCACAATCTGCAGATGGAGCTTGCTTCACTCAGGCTGGGGAAGCTGCTGTTGCACCATTATCTGATGAGCTCAGCAGGGCCTGTGGGGTCACTCCCTCCAGTTCACACTTGCAGAGATGTATCTTCCCAAGATTTGGCTGCTGTGCCTTACTGTGTCAGTGTCCAGAAGTTCTTGTCATCCAGGAGGGTGGGTGGTGCTGCCCTTCCCTCCCCCATCTTGAGTGCTTTCTGGAATAATCAGGTAGAAATCAATAAACAGACAAAACCTGGGCTTGCTACCCTTTTCTTTCCTCCTGTGCTGGAGATTGAACCCAGGTATTGCACAAGCCAGCCAAGCACTCTGCCAATGAGCTACACCCCCAGACCTAGCCTGCTACCTTTATTAATTAACATCAGGGATGTGAGGACATGAATGTCAGGCCTTTACACAGTTTTTAAATTTGCTTTGAAAATATTTGCTGCCCAGTTGTGGGCTTGGTGCTGAGGATACAGACATAGTTTTTTTTTTTTGTTGGTACCGGGGATCGAACTCGGGTCCTTAGCTTGCAAGGCAGGCGGTGGAACCACTGAGCTAAATTCTCGGCCCATGACATAGTGAGTTAATATCAGATGATGATAAGGGCAGTGAGCAACTAGAAGAGTAATGGTGCTAGAACATGTGGAGGGGACAACTAGGGAATTGTTCTTGCCCTGCAGTAGTCAGGGTGGAAGGTTCCACAGAGGGAGGGGTTATCTCAGCTCATTGTGACAGGTGAGAAATTGAGGAGAGGAGCTTTCCATGCAGTGGACACAGCATATACAATGCCCTTGAGACCTTAGCAAACTCACCCTGCCTCAGGGCCTGAAGAGTGGGATACAGGCCGGGGATTTAGCTCAGTGGTGCCGCTGCCTGCCTCGCAAGCACAAGGTCTCGAGTTCAATTCCCGGTACCAAAAAAAAAAAAGTGAGATACAAAGTGACCCAGGAGGAGATGTGCTATAATCTATAAGAACTACATGGGGGGCCGGGGATTTAGCTCAGTTGTTTCGCTGCCTGCTGCGCAAGCGCAAGGACCCAAGTTCGATCCCCAGTACCAAAAAACCCCCCCAAAAAACTACATGGGGGCCGGGGATTTAGCTCAGTGGTTCTTCTGCTTGCCCTGTAAGCGCAAGGACCCAAGTTTAATCCCCGGTGCCAAAAGAAAAAAAAGAACTACATGATTTTTCCAATTTATATGGACAGAAGTCTGGGGGATATGAGTGGAAATGGATATTGGTGTGAGATGGTAGGGGAAGCAACATAAAGTTGGCTCAGGCTGACTTTATTGATATGTGGCCACTAAGTGAGATTGTGGATTCAATGTTGCAGCTCCAGGGTTAGAAACAGCTCTAACAGTTCAGTTGGTTGGTGGGCTAAAATATAGACTACACAAAATGCAGCTGAAATGTCAGGTCTGCCTTGAGAGAGTGGGAGTCAGAGGCCTAGGGAGAATGCAAAGTTAGTGTAGAAGTGTCATCCATGACCTGCCTGGTAGCCAGGCCTGGTGGTACATGCCTGTAATCCCAGCACTCTGAGATACAGAAGCAGGATGTTTCCAAATTTGAGTCCAGTCTGGGCAGTTTAGCAACTTAGCGAAACCCTGTCTCAAAAACAAAAACAAAATAAAAAACCAAAAGACACACCTCACAACACCTTGAGGCATGTGAGAAATGTTTGTGGGGGTATCCTGAGCATCCTTGAAGCGCTCCATGGTTGCTCTACTTTAGTGGGAGCCACAGCCATTGGATTAGGAGAAGTAAATACAATATGAGTCTCTGGAATCTGGATGGTGAGCCTGATGAGGGGAGTTGCCTGTACTCCAGTTGCCCCACACTTACTTGCACATCCGTGTTAAGCAGTCAGGGAGAGCATGGGAGTGGGGCGTTTGGATAGGGAGGTCCAGTTCGGGCTGGCAAGCAATGTCCTCAGAAGGTATGGAAGACCAGATGAGGCCCAGGGCCTCTTACACAAAGAGCCAGGAAATGGAAGGCTGTGGGCAGGGTCCATCTGCCAGGCAGCTGGAAGAGGGGAGATGACATTTGCAGCTTTAACGTCTCAATGGAATCAAATTTTCCCCATACTCTTGCTGGGTTGCACCATAACTTTCAGCCCAGCCTGGAGCCAATTCTTCCTGGGGAAACAAAAGGCCCTTTGACAGCACAGTGCCCCTCTTCTTCACTTGTACCCTATTCTTTGTCAGGTAGAGCCTCTGGGCACATCCTTGGAGACCAGGATTGGGTGTTCTGCTAGCCACCTCAGCCACTGTCAGGGCTGGGCCAGGTGGGATGGGTGGCTTGGGTCTGGGGGAAGAACAGTGAGGAAAGAAGAGAGCTGTGTCCAGCAGGGGCCAAGCCAGTGCAGGGGGCATCAATAAACACTTGCAGAATGAGTGAGCTGACAGTGGTTTGGACTTTCAGTCATTTCCTATTTTCCTTTCCCAGGGTGACAAGCGGGAGAGGGCCTTGACTTTGGTGGGGTGTAGCAGGGAGCTCAGGTCCCAGGGAGGACAGGTGGGAGGTGGAGTCTGGAAGGGTCGGCGAAGATCATTGCCAAGCTAGATGGGGCCATCGTGTTCTCTACCCCTATATGTAAGAAGCCCACCAGGGGGCGCGGTAGCTCCGCGCAATACACCAGTCATGAGGGCTGCAGTTCCACAAGACGCCGCCAGGGGCACTGTGGCTATGCCTTTGACGATAAGGTAGGTCACTGCGCCCAGCTCTGTACGTCAGAGCAAGTCCCCTTCTCAGCACCACCTGCAGAAATGTCAGTGCCCAGGACTCTGGCTGAGGCCTGCCCTGCTGGCATCAGTGGATGCGGGCCTGCTGGGGAGTGAGGGGGGAGACCAACCTGCTGGGCTTCATGAAGTGACTTATACAAAGGTGAGCCGTCGAGGTCCCAGGTGGCCCTTTGAGTCAGCCAAGTAGGGAAGACCTGAGGGTGGGGGGAAAAAAGACAGAACAGTTGGCGAGGTGCGGGGGCGCGGGGTGCACACAAGATGCCCCAGCCCCTGGCCAGCCAACTCGGTGGGACTCCATGTGCCTATGCCCTCCCCCCGTACCAGCCTGCAGCCCTTCCACTGCCACCTGGCCTGCCCCCGAAGGCCTCTTTCCTCTGCTCACCTCTCATAACCCAGAGAACACTTAGCTGGATATTCATCCAGCCATCTTTGCAAACAATAATCAGAGCATCGTTATTGAACTCTGGGTCTTTACACTAAGCTATATCTCCAACAACTCCCACCCCCAATTTTAGAGACCAGGTTTTTCTAAGTCTCTAAATTGCTCAGACTGGGCTTGAACTTGGGATCCTTTTGCCTTAGCCTCCCAGAGTGCTGAGATTACAGACAAGCACCACGATGCCACACCATAATGATGTTTTTAGTACCCACACTCCCTGTCTGGAAACCCCAGATACCGTTCTAGACTCAATGTTGCTCTTGGTCTTTGAGTTTACTATTCTTTCTTCTTCTCTCCTCCCCACGTGTCAGAATCCTTCCAGTGGATCTGCCCTAGTGGCTCCCTCCTCTCCACTGTAAGGGAGCTAGTGCTAGGGGGCCTCCTATACACAGGCACATGGCTGGTCCCTGCTGTGGTCTTGTGGGTCTCACCCCATCCTCTCTCTGTGCTGATTCCTCCAGGAGACCATGGGAAAGCAGGGTGCATGTGTGTTGGGGGACAGAAGCAGGCGGGGCCATGCCTCTGCAGAGAGGGTCTAGCTCCTGGTACCCCTGAAGCTGCAGACAGGCTCCTTGTGGGTCTGTGAGTGTAGCACAGCTGCTGAGAAGGGGAAGATCTCACTCCTCTCCACTCCTGTGCATGAGAACTGTTTCCTGTCTCCCTCTGACAAAGGGATTCTTGTCTGCTCTGGTAAACTCTGGCCAGCCTCATGACCCTTCTTTTCTCTGGCAATGTCCCTGAGTCAGAGGGAGAAAGGCTGGGGAAGCCTTTCCCCTCTAGCCTTGTCCCCAAGGGATGCAGATTCCCCAGAGTGAGCACAGCTCTGAGGCACATGTTCTTTTTTTTTTTTTTCTTTTATTGGTACATTTTAGGTATACAATTCGTTTACATTTATCATTGGGTGTTTGTACCTGTGAGGCACATGTTCTTATGCCATCTTCACTGTCACATGTCCTCTGCCTCCTTCTCCCTAGTAACCAGACACTCAGGGAGGTAGGGGCTGGTATTACCTTTGTTTAATAAAGTGGGAGAAGGAGGGCCTGGAGGTCGGATCCCTGCTAAAGTCACCTACTAGGAGGGGGCAGAGATGCCCCTTAAAGCCCTAGCTGTTTGCATGGTCCTGTCCCGGTTGATAGCTCCTGTCCCTTTTAATTACTCATTAGGGTGAACTGAGGGCTCTGGGAGTGAGTGGGATGGGGGTAGGCCTCTCTTAGGGGGCCCTCCCCAGTAGGGAACCACATCCTCTATGTGCTTGGGCAAATCTGGCATCCAAAGTGAAAAACCCCACATAAATCAAGGACAGCTGGGCCAGCCCTCCAGCCACACCCCCCACCCCTCTGGTTCTGCAGACTTGCAGGAGAGGGTCTGGGGACTAAAGAAGGGTGTGGTTTTGAGGGAGGGAGTTCCTGAGGTGTGATCTCTACACCCACCACTGTCCCCCACAGAGGGAAGATCTCCACAGTATTGGCAATCACTTTCCAGTGTGGGGCCGCTGCTGTGGGGGCCCTGGGTGGGAGCCCACCCTGGGGTGGGGACAGACTGGGAAAGAGGCAGAGAGGGGCACACCCAGACTCAGAGAGATATACATACTACTCAGACATTCATGAGTGCTCACCACGGTAGGTGTGAAGCCACTGCAGGGGTTCAGACTAAGCTCATTCCTATTCTTGCCCAGCTGCATGGGGAGGTGGTGACTGATAGGAATCTAAATCACCCTCAAATGGCATGGTGGCATATGCCTGTAATTCTATCACTCTAGGAAGCTGAGGCAGAGGGAAACAAGTTTGAGTCCAGCCTGGGCAATTTAGCAAGACCCTGTCTCAAAAAAAGAAAAGAAGAGGGACTGGAGATTTAGCTCAGTGGTTCCGGCACCTGCCTTGCAAACGCAAGGTCCCGAGTTCCATCCCCGGTACCAAAAAAAAAAAAAAGAAAAGAAAAGAAAAAAAGGGCTGGGGATATAGTTCAGTGCAAAAGCCAGTACCAAAAGTGGGGGGGAAAACCCCACAAAGAAATGATCACAGGGCCAGGGATTTAGCTCAGTAGTTCCGGTGCCTGCCTTGCAAGCACAAGGTCCCAAGTTTGATCCCCAGTACCAAAAAAAAAACAAAACCAGAAATGATCACAGTTGTGAAGGGGGTACAGTACAAATCTGTGAGGCCAACCTGGTCCTCCCTCCTACTATGACCTTGCTCCCCAGAACTCCCTCCCCAAACTTCCTCCATCTCTATCTGGCCTGGCAGCCTGAGCAGCTCGGCCCCTTTCCTCTCCCAAGTCTGCCCTCCTCCCAACCCAACTTCCCTAATTCTGGGTATCTTGGTGTCTGTGGGCCAGACCAAGGAAAGTGGACAGATCCACCCTCTGCCTGGCAGTTTTGCTCCAACTGGGGGTCTAGATGACCTCCACGTGGGGCCTTGTGTCTTTTTTTTTTTTTTTTTGGTACTGGGGATCAAACTCGGGTCCTTGTGCTTGCACAACAGGTGGCGAAACCACTAAGCTAAATCCCTGGCCCAGGGCCTTGTGTCTTTAAGGGTGTTTAAAGGAGATCTCTGGGTAGAAGGAACTTGATGTCCCTTTCTGGGCAGCAGAAGTACAACCAAAGAGCAATGGCAAGTGACCCTCCCAGGGCTGTGTGCCTTAGAGAGAGTAATCCACTGACCCTCAGCCACAGAGGAAGGAACCACCAGTATACAGAGGCTGGCGCAGAGAGCAAAGCAGGGCAAGAGCAGAGTAGAGGAGCTTCTTAGATGTCCTGGGGTAGAAGGAGGAAAGTAACTGAGCATGTGAGGAACATGGAATAAATGGAAGTTTTTTAGTTCAGCCTGGGCAACTTAGCAAGTTAAGTGCTGGCCAGGACTACATAGCAAGACCCTGCCTTAAAAAATCATAAACAAAAGACCAACCTCCTCCAACCAAAACACCAAAAAACATTGTATGTGAACATTCACAGCAGTATTATTCATTACAACTGAAAAACAGGACTAACTCAAATGGTCTTCAGTGGATAAAAGGATAAACAAAATGTGGTCCATCACACCAAGGAACAGCACTGAGCCACAACAAGGAGCAAAGCCCTAACATCTGCTACAACACAGATGAACCTGGAAAACACTATGCTTGGTGACAGAAGCCAGTCACAAAAGGACAGCTACTGTATGACTTCATTTCTGTGAAATGTCCAGAACAGGCAAGTCTGTAGGGCAAAAAGCATGTTGATAATTGCCAGGGCCTTTGAGGGGGAGGGGGAGAATAGGGAGTGACTGCTAATGGGTGTCCAGTGTCTTTTTGGGGTGATGAAAATGTTCTAAAAGATGTAGCGATTATTATACAACATTGTGAATATATCAGGAACTAGAGTTCTAAATTGTATGGAGTATAGATTGTACTTCAATAAAGCTCTTATCAAAAAGGCTCTTCAGTCAGGACTGAATGCTCCCTCTAGAAAGAAAGAACTGGGCTAAGAATTGGCCAGAGTGTGAGGCCACATAGCTAGAGGAAGATGGGCTGGGGGCAGCCTCAGGCTGGACTCTAACCCCCCACCCTATCATCCTAGGGATGATCTTGAGGTGACCCCTCCTGCAGCAGAGATTTTACCCTGACCTTCCTCTGCCTGGAATGCTCTTCTCCTCCTCACCTGGCAAGCACCTCCAGAAAGCCTCCATTGACCTCGCCCTCTCTCATATCCTTCCTCTGACCTGGATTTATTGAGTACCTACTGGATGCCAGGCTCTGGGTTAGGTGCTGGGGATACCTTGGTGAAACAGCCCCCAGGTTGCCATCTTGGGCATTCCCAGATTTGCACCCACTTTTACCAGAGAGCCAAACAGAGGGTGCAGGGAGATCAACTTCCTAATTTTCCAGACTGACTCCCAGCTCTACTTCCATCCCTCTGGTTAATGCCTCCTGGAAAGTCTTTGGCCTTCAGCAGATGAGGTCCTGAGGAAAAGGCATACAGCAGGGCAAAGGGCAGAACCAAGGCTAGGTGGTAGAAAGACTAGTTAGCTCTGGGGCTGGGGGTGGAGGGTCACCAGGGAATGAGTGCAAGAATTTGGAGTCCTGAGCCATGACTGGTTAGGCTGGGTGGGGTAGGCCTTCCGCAGGAGGCTTTGAGAGAACTAACCCATCTGGAAAAAATCCCATGTTAAGCTAGACCCAACGAACTTCCTGGGACCTCGCATGTACCAGCATGCTCACCAGACAGTGCTGTGCCAACAACCCGCCTACATGGGTGCTGGCCTAGGCTTGCCCTGGCAAGCAGGTGCAGCTCTGGTGTCAGCCACCTGGAGCCCAGTCAGTGGTCTTCACTCCATTGGCCCTGTGTGGTGCCCTCCGTCCAGAGATGCCCCTGGTGGGAGCTCTGGAAATGTCTGGGCCATGGAGGCCCTCTTCCTTGTGGTCACTGGGGCTTCTGGTACTTGTCCAGTGCCCATTAGTTCCAGGAATGGCTCATTAATGAGCAGAACCCAGGAAAGAAAGAAGCTGGGCCTCTGGTGGGGGTGGGTGGGGGGGCGCGGCAGGCACCAAACCTGCTGCCAGGAAAGTTGAGGCAGAGGCAGAAGCAGAGAGAGGTCTTAAGAACAAATCCATCTTTTCCCAGGAATGGACAAGCTGCTCACTCTGTCCCAGCCTCGCTCCTCTCCCTGCTTTCTTTGCTGGCTATGCAGGGTGGGGAGGGGTGTCAAATCTGGGGGTGGGAAGCCCCTGTGGTGTCAGGTGCCCAGCGGATGCCATGGCTCTGAGAGGCCCTCTAAGTCTCTGCCCTGACAGGACCTGGGCACGGGTCTCTCTGAATCCTTCACAATTCCAGGGGGAGCCTTTGTCATCTTCCCACAGAGGTTACTGAATCCCAAGGGATCACCAGGTAACCTAGGCTGGGCATATGTGGTGTGGAGAGGGTCAGGAGATGAGTCTGACTTTGCTCCCTGGACGCTGGGGAGGACATCTCTGCCCTGAGCCTGTCTCCTGAACTCTAAAACACTAACCAGACATCATTAGCTCTCTTCAGGAGGCAGGCAGGTCTAGGCAGACTTTCGGTTGGGAGTCCAAGGCACAAATCGCAGACCTCCGATAGTTAGGGAGCACTCTGCGCACTAGGCTGCCGGCCTGGCCTCATTCTCCTGGGTCTGTGAGCTTTTCTGGCCCACTCTGATCAGGGAGCCCAGGCTCGGCAGGCGCCTCTGTCCAGAAAGCGTATGTGTGTGGGGTGAGCCTTCTACAGATAGGTCGTGGGTACGCGCGCAACCCTCTCACCGCCTCGTGTCCTTGCCCGCTTCCTTGTCCCCGGTGCGGGAATGAAGACGCGCCGCCGGGCGAACCGCAGCCCAGGGTCTCGCAGCAGGATCGCCGGCTGTCCCCGGGTGCCTGCGAGTTCCGGACGGGCCGGGACACCCCTCCCCCGCTTCGGACCCGGCCCCGCCCCCGCCCGCTTCCTCGCTGCCCCTTGGAGGGCGCGGAGCAGAAGCCCAGCGTCCTCGGGCTGAGTGGGGCGTCGACAAGGATGTGCGCCCTTCTGCTGCCCCCGTCCCCGGGCCTGGGCGCGGCGCAACCCCATGGCAGATAGCGGCGGCCTGGGCGCCGGGGCCGGGCCTGGGGCGGCACAGCGGGCGCTCCGCGCGCCCCTGACGCTCCTGGCGCTGGGGCTTGTCGCCTACTGCCTCTGCGCCCTCCCGGGACGTTGCCCGCCTGTTGCCCGCGTCCCCGCACCAGCCCCCGCTCCGACCCAGCTGCCCAGTGCGCACCGCCTGCCCTTGGCCAGCGGCCCGGGCCGCCGGCGCTTCCCGCAGGCACTCATCGTAGGCGTGAAGAAGGGCGGCACGCGAGCGCTGCTGGAGTTCCTGCGGCTGCACCCCGACGTCCGCGCGCTTGGCTCCGAGCCCCACTTCTTCGACAGGTGTTATGAGCGCGGCCTCGCCTGGTACAGGTGAGCGCCCTGCCTGTCTGCCCCTTTGGTTTCCAAGCGAATTCGGGTGGTGGGATCTAGTGGAGGGGAGTCCGGGCTCTGGGATTGAGCCCAGCTAGTGTAGGGGATCAGGCTTGATCCTAGGTACTGGGCCCCCAAAGCAAAGGCAGTACTGGCCAGAGGCCCCAGGAACTTTGGAAACTCCGAGAAAAGCTTGTTTTGGTCTACTTGGCAAGATTGAGGGGAAGGTGTGACCCCAGCCAGGAAATAGTCTCAAGGCGGTGATATTATTTGGGAGTGTTAGAATTGCTTCAGGCCCAGCTGCCCCCCCCCCGCCCCGCCCTTTCTCTTTGGGTTTGTATGGTTGATCATCTGACTTGTGGCTAGTTACCTTAGGAAGGAGCCTCCAGGTTCCCTGCAGCCTCCTAAAAAGTGTCCTCTCACCCCATAATTCCTGCCTGTCTCCTGGGAGTCCTTTTTGACTGCTGGAGTCTGGAGAAAGTTTGGTCTGGGCTGTAAAAAGGAGCTCTGCCCTTCAGTGTATGCCCAGGCATGGGGAATGGGATCCAGCTGTCTGCACAGGCTTTGTGGCTGCCCTGGGCCCCATCCAGGAGAGACCAGGGGTGTGGCAGTGGAACTTGGGGAGCACCCTGCCCCAGCCAAGCAGCCTGCACTGGTGGCTAGTCAAACACCAGCCCCTCTCTACTGAGCTGGACACCGAGACTGAGCCAGGCCTTGCCCTCTGCTGCTTAGCTGGAATTGCAGGTGTGCATCACCTCACCTGGCTAAGACCCAGGCCCTTGACCCCATTCCTGGCAATTTACCAGTTTCCCTGTTCCCAGATCTACCCCTCCTTCAGTTGTTAACTTTATCTGTTGCATTAAGAAGACTGGGGGGTCTGGAGGGAGAATGGGAGATCTGGCTCCTGAACTCTGAAGGGTTGGTGCTTCCTGGATGCTAAGGAAACTGGGCTTGGAGGAAATTGAATCCGTCCTGGGGCATCCTCCTAGCTCAGACTCCTGGAAGAGACCACTGGCCTACTCTGGGTAGAGAAGGACCAAAAAAGGGAGTGGAGAGGGAGAAGAGAGACCCAGAGTCGAGGAGGAATGCTTTATGGAGTGCAAATTTCAGAGCTTGCTGCTGGGGATGTGGATCACTGGTAGAGCACTTGTCTAGTGTGAAAGGCCCTGGGTTCAATTCCCAGCACTACAAACAAAACAAAATAAACAAAAACTCCAGAGCTTGCTGTGAGCATAATCTGTGCTGGGTAGGGGCAGCTGTGGGAGATGGGGATGGGTTTAGTGCTGAAAGTTTCTCAATACACAAGGATTCTGAGTCTCTCCAGGCCCACTCTGGGCCCTTGCTTCTCTGTAGGAAAGGCTCCAGTGTGGGTGAGGGGTGGAGAGACCTGCACTGAGGGCAGATCCTCAGCCCTGGGGAGGGGATCTTGGAGACACTGACATGCCCAGGACAGGAGTGGAGGGTGTTCCAGACAGTGCAGTCCTGCTGAGAGGAGACTGAACTTCCTTATCTGTAGAATCTGTCTCCAGTGGACGGAGGCAGGGGATGCTTGTGGAGGGCTCAGGCCCTGTGGCCTCTGTCCCTTCATCCAGTTTTCAACAAGCTGAGTATGATGATTGAGCTTCTGGTCTGTGAGTCCTGGTCCTCCGAGGACTGTGGCCAAGTGCTGATATATGTGAATGTGAGGCTGCTCTGCTCACAAGTGCCTGAGCTCCTGGTGCCTGCTTGTCTTTTCAACCATCATGAGTGTGTTTTGAGCCCCTGAAAATGCTCACCCCTGCCTCATTGTCTCTAGCTGAAGGACCTGGGATGAGTCCATAGCACCTGCAGGGCTCTGTTCTAGGTGTGGGATGGGGAGGCAGGTGGAGAAGGTGAGTTTCTGGGGCACTGCACCACAACCTAGTGGGTTGTGACCCACCTCATTCCCGGCAGTGACCCTGGCCATCTCCTGCCCTATGTAGGTAGGTCCTGTGTTGCCCTTAGCCCAATTTTTCCCCCTCCCCAATCTCTGTTAGTTCATGTCTCAGGCCCTTGAAGGTGCTCCATCTTGGGGACCGTGGTCCCTGAGTACCTTCTAACTCAGTATCTGCTCACCCATTCACTCATCATTGAGCACCCACTATTTGCTAGATACTAGATTCACGCAAAAACCCCAGGGTCTTGATCTGGAAGGGGTGCCCCATCTTGAGTCAGGTGGGAACTCAACTTTGACCATAATACTAGAGTAGAGAAAAGCAAGAAGCTGGGTGTGGTGGTGCATGCCTGTAATCCCAGCACTTGGAAAGCTGAGGCAAGAGGAAAGCTGTGAGTTCAAGGCCAGTTTGAACTATGTAATGAGATCTCGATTGCAATAAAGAAAGAAAGAAAGAAAGGAAGGAAAAGATGAGGAAGTGTGGGTATGGAAACTCCCTTAGTTCCCAGTGTCAGAGCAGTGAATATAGGGAGGGGGTTTGTGCATGTAGGGGAGGACTTGGGCTTCTGTGGCCCATATCCTTCCTCCCCCTGTGGCTGAGGACAGTCTCCCTCCAGCACTTTCTATCACTGGAATAAAAACAATAACTGGTTTTCCCCAGGTCCCAGGCCCTGCTGGACCAGGCCCAAGCAGGGTGTAGGACATGGAGGTGGGGGTGCTGAGATGGAGGAGAGAGAGTGGCCCAGGGCTGGATGGAAGCCGAAGGGAAATGCAGACCAGATGAGGTGGCTCAGTGGGGAGGGTCTTTGGAACAACTTGTCAGATGTTTGCTGTGTGGGGTCAGAGTTCCATTCTGCTTATCCTCTCTCTAGTCTACCACCCCCCAAAAGCGCCAGTCCTCACTCTTCAAGACCAATTAGAACAGGCTTCTGAAGCCTGAGGAGGGTAAGTAATTGATCCCAAAGATCTCAAAGCAGGCTTGCAGCAATTGTGAGCCCAGGAAGTCCTTGTGTCCCCTCTGTATTCTATCCCCTTCTTTGGCAGGGGTGTCAGGAGGGGCCTCCCCCTTTGGAGCTGTTCTGCTTTTCTGACTTCCTAGAGAGCAAGGCTGGAGGGGAGGGATAACATCAGGGCTCCCAGCAAAGGATAGTGTTGGGGACATTCAGAGTCAGGCTTTCAGTCAGGGAGGAAAGAGACTGGGAGTCAGGACAAGTCAAAGATTAGAGGGGCCGTGTCTTGGAGGCCTGGGGCTCTTTCTTTCCCTGGGAAAGATGAAGGAAGGAGTGGTGCATTCTGGTGAGGCCTGGTGTACACCCCTCCCAACACCAGCATCAGCTCCTCTTGTAGGTCCCAGTGGTAGGGTTCAGTGCGGGGAGACTCTCCTTCTTACGAGTTCCCTCAGGGAAAGGGAGGCCCCCTGAGCTGGCTGGCCCTGACAACTTGCAGCCCTGTGCCATAGATATTGGTGGTCTAAGGTCTTTTTTAACTTTCCCCGAGGACAGCTGGGTGTTGTCCCCATTGGATCCCCAGTGTGTGATGTAGGGCATGGAGGGCAGGGGTTCTGAGATCAGAAGCCACCCAGACACCTCCTTCCCAGAAGGACTGGAAGGCTAAGAGTCAGTCTCCACTTTCAGCTCCTCTTGTTCCCTCTCTGAGCCTCAGTGTGCCTGAGGGTGGACAGTGGGTGGGGTGGAGGGTGGTTCTGACACACTGTGTCACCAAGATGGAGGAAGTTGACTTGTCCTCTGTGACTTCTGAAGATCTGCTCTGCCTTGGGCCTTGATGTGAGGGGTAGGGAGGTTCTATTCTATGCACCTGCCTCACTCTTCTGTGACCATGGATGGTTTTGGGGATTTTGGTGTTCCTAGCTCTCCCTTTCGCCTAGCGGGGCACATGCATACATTTTCCTGTCTCACCACCAGCAACCCCCAATCTGATCATACCAGCCTGGGGGACTGTGCGCCTGTGTCTGGCCTGAATTTCCTTGGAGGTCTGAGCAGGGAATGGGTCAGTTAGGGTGGCTGAGACCTGGACTTGTCACCTCCTGGCTGGGCCAGTCCTGGGCCTGTCAGTGGGGTCAGGCAGTACCCCCCTCAGATGATGGGAAGCAAGGCCAGGCAGGGCTGGGCAGAGACATCTCCTCCCTACCACAGGCCACCCAGTCTCTGCCTCTGTTGACCTAGTTCCCAGCCCTCTCTTGGAGCTGTTTTCTCAGCAGCTCTGCCTTGCCCAACCTCACCCTGTACTCCTGGCTGGCAGGTGTTGCCTCAAGACAGCATGAGGCATGCCTGGGCCTGTCCAGCTGGGCACTCAGGATGGGCTTTCCCAGATTTGGGGCAGTCAAGGGGCTTTGGTCAGCCAACTCCTTCTGGACCTTGGGTTGGCTGGTACCCTCCTCCCCCATGTTAGAATGAGGGGAATTTTAGAAATAGTATGTCCTCAGCCTGGCACCCTGGGGCCTTGGAAGCATAGGGCCTTGGGACAGGTTCCCCAGG